TTTTTTTAATTAGGTCTCCGACTCCTCGCTACTCTACCTTGACCCTCCAAACTCCGGTTAGGGTTTTCTTAAGATTTAGGGTTGTTCTGACTCCCCTCTTACTGGTTGGCCTCTTTCTCCACATAGTAAACCGCCTCTTTCTCCACACAGTAGACCGCTTCCTTTCCCATCACTCTGTCCACCTACCGCCATGTCTACCCCCATTCCTCCACACACATGGACGGGAGCATACCTGAGGATATTGAAGTGGCGCCATCCACCTCTCAGGCGCCCGCTCTGGTGGTGGCATAGGGTTCAACCCCTAGGGATCTTGAAACCGCCCTCACAACCCTCTCGGACCCATGCAACGGTAACTTGACGCCCTTGCACCCATGGAGGGGCAACTTGATGTGCTTGCACCCATACAAGTCGCGCTTGCACCATCGCATCAAGGGTTCTCCTCGTCGTTCTCCCCACCGCTCCCACACCCCATCTCCTACCAGTTCCCAGTCCATTTTCTAGTCCGGTTCCCCACGAATCTAGACACGGAGACGTCGTGGTTCCTCCTTCCCCAGGAACAGGCCCTGCACTCCCTCTCCGCAGTGGTGAGTGTCGCTCCCAGGCCCGCTTAGACCATACTGTGTGTTGCGGCACATCCATTGGCCCCTGCCGCCCCTGCCGCTTCGGCCACTGTTATGATGCTGCTGCCTTCATACCGGTATCTGGTCGGGAAGTTTCATCTACACATCCCGGTGTTGCTTCCCAACTTCATGCACGGGTCGCGGCACGACGGCTGGGAACCCTCCCTTCTCCTCTTATCCCCTCATTCTCACCTCAGGGCTCCCTATAATTTGTTACTCCTCTCCCCGCTAGGGTACCATCTCTGACTCCTCCACCTTTGACCCCCCACACCCAGCTAGTGGCTACCTTGCAGGCCACCATGGCGCAAATACAGGCGAAGACACTCACCTTGAGATAGCCTCACTCTTTCACTGGTTGCTCACCCTTCATCTTCCATCACGACTGCTACTTCGGTTTTGCACCGCCTCACAATTTAGTTGTGAGCAGAGCCCAACTACAACTTATGACTTAGTGTTCGTTAGTGTCAGTGCACGCATAGCTCCCTGCAACCAATGCGACACACGAAGTGTGCCATCGAGGTATATCCGACATGCGCACAAGGGGGGGACCGTTGTGCTCACGCCGAAGGGAGGAAGGTTGAGGGCCCTGCATTGTGGCAGCAAAAGTCGTCGATGGTGCAGAGGTGGAAGTGAGAGCAGGTTGGGGGCCATAGCTGCTGGTGCAAGGTCTAGTAGAGTTGGAGGCAATGATCGCAGGCACCATGAGACAACTATAACACCCATCGTACTCGGCGACTACTCGCAAAGGTGAGGGTCCCTCTTTCACGGACTTCACCGCCTTTGTTCAGCATCACTATAACGCTCGCCACGACGCGACCGACGCCTTAGATAGGGTCACCCAGATGCGATGGCCCGAGTCCCCCACACCGACAGACCTGCAGTGTCACATCCGGGTGTTTCTGGACGCCCGCCTCATTTGCGATGAGACGCTTCTATCAAAGAATCTTCTGACCAACAATTTTTTCGTCATTCTCTCACCTGATTACCGCATAGCGTTTTAGAGACAGACCTTCATGTCAAAAAAACAGGCCTACGACGCTTCTTGACAGTACTAGAGGATGCTGAGTGGCTTCTCCGACGCCCCGTCCTCTTCGCGACCTGCCACCACCTCCCAGTCACGTGGCACCACTCGAGGTTGTTCCTCGCAACTTAGTTCAGCCAAGAGCGCCATTCTCTCGCCGCTACAATTCTCTCGAGTACGGCGATAAATGTACGGGAGAGATTGACCCTACCCTTGGGGACAACCCCAAGGACCTCGAGCTTCGGGATATCATCCAATACCGGTTGGACCGCTTGCACATGGTGATGTTCGTCATGAGCATGCTCGCAGTCGGCTTGCACAGATGAGTGCCCTCACGTTTCATGTTCCTCAAGTTGACCTGCCGCAAGGTTGTGTCCCTCCTCACTCACGGAGGCCTATCACCTGAGAAATGCGCCACCATCGAGGCCCACCGCGGTTGCCTCCGTTGCCGCCAAGATGGTCACACCTCCTCACAGTGTTCATACCATGCCGCCCTCGATCGACACTATGCTGATATTTCTCGACAACCCCGATCCCAGTCTCCCCCTGACATCACCCAACAATTCCCATCCAACCAGCCACGTTGCAGTGTACCATTGAGGCCTCGCTCATAGCTGGCCTCCTGACCAACGAGTCGTGGTTTGCCTCTTTGGCTACCACACCAGAGGATCCTCATGACATGACAGTCACAGTTCCTCTGGCCCACCATCCGTCAAGGTTTCGTCTGCCTCACAGTAGACCGCGACATGTAGTCCTTCACTTTTGAGACTTCCGACCCATCGCACCATTCGCATAACTCGTTGTAGCGCTCAACCAGTGACTCGCGGTGATGTTGTGTCATTTCTCATAGATTTTAGCATTCTTCGGGATCTTCAGGAGTGACTCATAAAACACACAAACGTCATTCGTCGTATTCTTGCCCTTCTCTCTGACCTTGATTGCACCCTCCTCATTATTCCTATTTGCCTTGAGACATCTATGAGGGTGTACTACACTTTATAAGACTCCAGCTCGTAGGGGGATTTCGTTCACCCTTGCGTGGTTAAGGAAGCTCGTCTGGCTACTTCCGGGTCTCACTCTCCTATCTCTGTTACCCTCTGAGATAACAAGACGCAACGCTTCTTCGATCAAACAGTCTCGAACTTTCACTTTTCCCTCACTCTCCAACCATTGGATAGTACTGAGCGCCTCGATGCTATTATTCCGCAGGGTCCTCATACTTCGACGTGTTGGAGACTCGATACGACTTTATCCTTGACACTAATTAGTCTCGCAAGTTTCGTGGCACAAAGACCGAATGGGTGACCAAGACACTCGTTTTCAAAACAAAGTGTGGTCAGACATAGTGAATCTCCTTCATTGGCACCACGAGCGAAATCCCTCTCAACCTACTTCCCAGAGACACTCCTCCTTTCGGGTCCCACCTGGACATTGCCTTCACTAACCCTCTTGCCTGTTCGCCGACTTTCTATGCCAGGACGACGACGCCGTCTACTTGGTGAACATTATGGATCTTTTTCAGTACAGTCCCCTCTGTATAGATGTTGAGTTCATCTCCTTGGAACCCAATCCCCTTAACCCTTCTCGACATCCACCCCTCGGCCTGCGGATACCCCTTAGACATTCATGTTCCTCCACCGTCCACTCGCGAATCCACATACACGTCTCGTGCTCAGGCGGACGCTTAGGAACTCGCGCGGTTTCAAGGTCAATTTAGAACCCATCGTTTCTGACCTCAACCGCTAGTACTACGACGTCTTTCCCCTGTATTTCTTATACAACAGCAATGTATACGTCCGTACGAATACGGGCCGTACGTACTCCCGTACGACCGTACATATGGGCCCCCAACGCCCGTACAACCCGTACGTATGGACTTTGCGACCTTGTACGTGGCCTTCTGGGGGGTGTTGAGGGGTTGAATGCACTGGGGGGGGTTGGGTGTCGGGGGGTACCCCCCAATTCAAAAAAAAAAA